CAGACAGCAGAGGATTCTGTTTGCAAATCAAATTTATACCAAAAGAATAATTAATTCTCAATTTATAGTTTATTGGGATGGTCTGATGCCTGTGATTGGATGATGATCGTTGTCGTGATCATTCTCAAGTTTCTTGTTACTGTTGTATCAGTCAGATCAGCATAGCACTCAATAAACGGGACATGGGAGGTCCCGAACGGGACAAATAAATCAGGCCCAATAATCGGGATGTCCCGGCTAATTCGGCACAGTTGGCAACCCTAGTTGATAGTAAGTGTATATAATAAATTATACAGTTTCATTGGACTATCATTTGTCTCAGAAATGTTTATATCTTGCATTTTTGACTTGCATTCTTGGCAAGAGTTATAAACTTCTGATGGGGGAAAAAGACTAAAAGAGTTTATTTCTCACAATTCTGGAAAAAGAAGTCAGATTTGCGAGTTATAAACTAGCAATTACAAGACAAAAGATCAGAATTGAGTTTATATCATGCAATTCTGAAGTCACGCAAGTCAATTGCAAGAAAAAAGTCAGAATTTGAGATAAAAAGTCACTATTATCTTTTCAATTGTTTTATTCCATGGTGAAAAAAAGAAAAGGAAAAAAGGAATTCAAATTGAAAAAAAAAATTACTGTAAAATATAAACAAAACAAATATGAATTCAGTAAGGATGATTGAGCTGATTAAAATGATGCACCTTTTGCTTTAGCTGTAGCACAGTGGGTTTTGCACATGCTCATTACACATGAAAGCTGTTGTGCTGGCGGGATGCAGGTACAAATCCGGTTTCCAATCTAACACTGACTTATTCGCTATTGACTGTGTTCCAGAATCCTCTCATACAGGCAACATTTTAAGTCATTGCAATGTGAAGACTATTCCAAAGAGTAAGAAAAATACTTTTTAGTTTTTACTTTGCAACCAGCAATGCCCAACATAATACCTGGAGTCAGGCTTTCATCCATACTTCCACACTAACCAATGAGAGTTCCAGCCTTCATTAACACAAATATTGGGTTGGTGTCCATGGACCTAAACACCTCTATTTTTTTTTTTTTTTTTATTATATTTTATGTTACATTTATTGCTGACCTCCCAGTGTGTCAGTCTGCCGAGAGTAAACCTCCTTGTGAAGACTGCCAATTAGAGCGTGTGTGTGATGATCCGGACCCTTCTGCCGGTCCTGTGGTCATGTAATTGCTGTGACAACAACAGAGACTCCAGAAGTCAGCAGAGTGAGTGAGATCTGTATGCCAAGCAAATGTCATGTTTAACATGTCTTCTGAGCTTTTAAACAACAAGAATAGACACCTGTAAGTGCCATATACCCATATATACATATATGGCTTTCAAAGAGATGTATACTACTTTTGTATATTAATTGAATGAATTTAATGAATTTAATTAAATCAATACATTGTTATTTTAGGAAATTAATTACATAATTTATTTATTATAATTAATAATAATATTTAATAATAATAAATATATAACAAATGTAAATTGTTCGTAAATATATCTATTTATTTATTAATTTGTTCATTAATTAATAATAATAATAATAACAATAAAACTAAATGAATTAAAAGTAAATGTATGTATTTATCTATATAATCATCATTATTATTATTATTATTATTATTATATGGGAGCGTGTGCAGTGTGCCCTTCTTTTCTTTTGTTGTGACTTACAGTATTTTTAAAGGTAGTTTAATTCATCATTCCTAAAACACTCTTTAATCACTGCTTCTTGTCACTTATTCTGTAATATATGCATGTCTTATATAGTTGGAGTATTGTATATTCAAGTTATGGACATTTTAGCAAAGTTTTCCAGAGATTGAACATTGGATGGAGACTGTGAAGCTCCATGCTAATCGATTACCACTGGGTAAAAGGAGGCAGAAGGTTCACAATAAACTTTTTGCTTCTTTTCCCTAAGTTATAAAACATAGTTGGTGACGTTTAAGTACTGTACCTTTCTGAGGACGAAAAATTAGCCATTGAACCACCTCTCATGTGGTGACATCACTTCATAGCATGCTGACACTGAATGCGAGCTGCGTTTGAGATACCTCGAATCCATGTGGCATTATGGGAGTCCGTAATGCTTATTATCATATTTGTGTAAACAACGTTTCAAAGAAATTAAAGAAGAAAAGAACAAACCATCTCAAATTCTCACTTTCTGATACTTTAGCCACTTCTACTAGGCTTAGCCTGTCTAAATAAATAAATAAAGTCTATCCCTGGTAGTCTTAATCTTCCATTTTGTTCTGCCCCAGTTCAGATATCATGGTGTTAGCCTGGGGGAAATATTGCTGTAACTCTCGCCTGCAGAAACCCATTTACTGATGGGTAGATGATTGACAGTCATCCTGGGGCCGAGCCTTCCCATCTTGATCCCCTCCAAACGCCCTCTGATTGCTTTCCGACAACAAACAATCCCTGATGATGGAGAATTATCCCAACACGACCACTGGGTTTTGTAAGCGTAGATAAATTGCATGTGTAAGAAAACTAGCGTGACTTTAAAACAAGGCCCTTTACTGCGGTGTTTGGAAGAGCATATCTAGCCTTTTGGCTTTGAAGGGTTAATTCGCTCATACATACGTTATGTCACCATTGATTTTTATCAAAACTTATATAGCAATTTATCTTTTTGAATAGTTTATTTTCTCATTTTATTTTATTTCATTTGTGCATAACTTTGGCTTTGTTCAAAAACCCGTAAGTTTGATCAATACTAATTGCCTCAGCACACACTATTTATTAGCAAATATTATGTCTTTGATTTCTTTCCTAAAGCACTGACAGTCCTCTGTGTTTTAGTAATGGTAGGATATTGTTCCTGAGGAAATGTTTTTTTATTAGAAACAGTAGGGGACATTCAGACAGTCATAATTTCTCTCAGTGTGTGCATGTTCCTTTGTTCATTGAGTAAATTTCGGTTCTAGTGGAACGCCCGGGTTTTATCAGTAGTCAGCCATGCTCAATATGCCTGTCTTGAATTGCATTTCACAGCATGACTTTATAAATATGCTCAAGCATAGTCGTAGGTCAGCAAATATATCATGATTTGTTCTTTTGATCTGAATATGTTCATGGATCTTTATATTGAACTTGTATGAGGTCGATGGATCCAGACTATAGAGCTTTTTGCTGAAAATGCCACCTTTGTTTTCTTTTCATATACAGTGATTCAGTGTTAAACTTGTCAATGAAACTACTGAAAATGCTTCTTGACCGTTTCTTTATTTACATTTAAATTTTCCATTTACATGAATGGATTTGGCAAGCTCTTTTATCCAAAGTGACTTACATTGAATTCAAAGCACACATTTTATCAATGCATGCTTTCCCTGAGAATCGAACCCACAACCTTGCTGTTGCTTGCACCATGCTCTGATTCATATTATTACAAAAAGTTTCTAGTTTTATGTTTCTTCAGTCAGAAATAAATACAGAATAAAGAATACACTACTTTTATTAAGCAAGGATGCTCTAAATTGATCAAAAGACATGTATAATGTTACAAATGATTTCTGTGTTTCTCAAGCTCCAAATCATCGAATTAGATTGATTTCTGAAGGATCAGGTGACACTGAAGACTAGAGTAATGATGCTGAAAATTAATCTAAGAAGGATTGAAGATGTATCGACTCTTTAAATTTGGTAAATTTTGGAAAAAGTAAAAAAAAAAATGTATATGTATTAAAAAAACAGTGTACTATTACATTGTAATAACATTTTAGAATATTGTGGTATTTTAATCACTGTTTTTTTTATCAGCAAAAAAAAAAAAAGTAATATACTCTCTGGTGTTTAATATGCATATTTTACTGTTTTGAGATATTACATCACAACCATATCAAGCTACAGGTTCCTAAATACATTATGTTTGCCTAGCAGGGCGTGAACTACTTCCTTTAGCACTGCTACCTTTACCGCCGTCCACCATCACTCACTCACTGTAAAGCATGCTGGCACGTTGGCCCATAATTCCTATTGAAATATGGTCTCATCCATCTCCAGACTCTGTCCTGACAACCCCTCACTGTCAGGCCTTCTTTCAGGCCGTCCTGTCGCGGTGACTCTGGCACGGACTGAAGGAGAGTAATGGAGGAGTGTTTGTCTGCGGGACCCCTGCCGCTTTGCAGATTGAAATGCTGATGTGTTGAGCATTCTGTCCTGCTATTTGACTGCTGATGGATCGCGTTTATCCACTCGGCTGATGTTCATTACACCTGTTAGAGAGACAGGAAGCAACAGAGTGGAAGAGTAAGGCAACATGTACTCTTTCTTTAGCCCATGTCCTTCTCTTTCTGGTAAGAGGAAGATGTCTGTCCAGTGTCCAGCACATCTTGGGTCTGACTAGGCATTTCAAACTTTTTTAAACATAAGGACACTCAAATAAATAAAGGGACCTCCCTCTAAAATGTAAAGGCAGCTATATAATATATTTTTAGTATTTAAAGGTAGGGTTGGCAATTTTGGAGATACTAGCTAGCATGCAACAGCCAGAGCAGAGTCTAAACTATCTCATGTCTCAAAGCACATAACATTACAATAATGAATGTAAACTTACAAACTTAAAGAGCGCTTACTTGTACCACCTGACTGCTGCGGACCGGACTGAATGCAATGATTGGATGAACATGTGTTGGTCTTGAGAAGTCCAAAAGAAAGAAAACAGAAGATGTATGTAGTTTTTTTTTTTTGTAATTTTAGACCACATCTATTATTGATTGCTATAAAGATGTGAAGAGTTTCAACCAGTATAACAAAAGTGTTTATAAAAAAACTTTGCCTATCCTATGTTTAACTGCATTCTTTTTTAATTTTAACAGCAAAAATGTTTGATTTAAGTTGACGGGGTGATGAGTACGGTACAATTCAAATGTGCGCATCCACCACGCAGGACATCAGTTCTGATTGGATCCCTTCCCAAAATCATCCCTCTCTAACATTTTCGTCTCGTTTTTATTCGTTGACGAAAATGTCAGTAGGTGTTCGTCATAGTTTTTGACAGTCAAAACCGGTTTTAATCTCGTCTTGTCTTGTTTCATCGGGGACAAAATGAAATTGATGACTTATTTAACGCTGGCTGCATTTACATGTCTAAACGCCTTAATCCCAACCTTTAATATTGCATTTTATAAAGACAACATGCTGAATACAAAATAATACAATTGGCTTTTTTTATTTAAATATAGCCTATTGTTACTGTGCTGAAGATTGAAAAATTAAATTAAATCAATAAAAAATAACAATGTGATACAATTGTAAAAAAAAAAAAAATTAAAAATCTTAAAATCTTACATTTCCCAGATACCCCATACCTAAGTATGTTTAGCAATTAGTTCCTTTAAAAAGTTTGAAGCCAGAGGTGTTTGTGTACTTTCAGATTCAGACAAAGATGCGATTCACTTTTTGCATCATGATGGCTATTTATGTCAGTCATTGGAGCGTGATACATGTGTTTCTGTAGACAAACAAGGCTTTGCCCTGCACTGCTGTAAAAGTGATATTGATTCGGTGGAAACAAATCAATCCAACCATTCAGGCTCTTTGTATATGTTTTAATAAGAAGCACTGAGCCCTCGGTTTGTATTCCACAGAACGAGAAGTGCTATCCCTCTAAGGAGGAGCAGGGCTTATTCAGGAAGAGTAATTCAGGAGCCTTTCAGATGGCCAATGTCATTCTCACGCTGAGATAGACACCGCAGTGTGAGGTTGGGCAAGTCTTCAACAAAAATGTCTGCTGTTAGTGTGCGTTTTGGAATGGATTAATAGTGCTTTATCACATCACCCACACTGGCTGGGCAAACAGTGAAGCCATTTACGGAGGCGGGTGAGTGATTGATCCTCCAGCGGCCTTTAAGAAAACATAATGGGGACTGTGACTTGGGGCTTTTCGGATGATTCACTCTGCCTGGACGCAACACTTTTCGACAAATGCTAAAGAGACACATTTGTTAGCATGGATATTTAGTAGTTATTTCCTTTTGTTCTTAAAAATCAATATAATCAGGGGTTGTTTTTTTTTTTTTTTCATTTTTTAGATTTGACGAATTTAAGTTTTCTCAATAATAAAAAAAAAATCTTACTGACCCAAAACTTTTGATTGGTAGTACATATGAAGAGTTCAGATGCAAAAGCCTCTAAGTGCCATTTGAAATTTTCTTCTAATGATCATTTCTATCAAGCTTGTATATTTAAGTTCAGTGATTTCACTTAAATGGCAATGATAATTACCTATTAATTGTTATTTAAGTGAAATTACTGAACTTAAATATACAAGTTTGATAAAAATCATCATTAAAGAAGAAAATTTCAAATGGCAGTTAGAGGCTTTTGCATCTGAACTCTTCATATATACACTCACCTAAAGGGTTATTAGGAACACCATACTAATACTGTGTTTGACCCCCTTTTCACCTTCAGAACTGCCTTAATTCTACGTGGCATTGATTCAACAAGGTGCTGAAAGCATTCTTTAGAAATGTTGGCCCATATTGATAGGATAGCATCTTGCAGTTGATGGAGATTTGTGGGATGCACATCCAGGGCACGAAGCTCCCGTTCCACCACATCCCAAAGATGCTCTATTGGGTTGAGATCTGGTGACTGTGGGGGCCATTTTAGTACAGTGAACTCATTGACATGTTCAAGAAACCAATTTGAAATGATTCGAGCTTTGTGACATGGTGCATTATCCTGCTGGAAGTAGCCATCAGAGGATGGGTACACGGTGGCCATAACAATGCTCAGGTAGGCCGTGGCATTTAAACAATGCCCAATTTGCACTAAGGGGCCTAAAGTGTGCCAAGAAAACATCCCCCAGACCATTACACCACCACCACTAGCCTGCACAGTGGTAACAAGGCATGATGGATCCATGCTCTCATTCTGTTTACGCCAAATTCTGACTCTACCATCTGAATGTCTCATCAGAAATCGAGACTCATCAGACCAGGCACCATTTTTTTTCCACTCTTCAACTGTCCAATTTTGTCCAATATTAGAAAATTGCTTTAATGAGAAATTGAACAGGTATTCCTAGTAATCCTTTAGGTGAGTGTACAGTGTAGCTGCCTTTCTATAGAAAAAGGGTTAGTCATCTCATATGATTGGAGCACTGATTGGACAAGAGGCTGTTCAAACATGAACATTCTGCAAAATGGAAGAGAAAGACTAAACTGCAAATGCAAAAATCTTAAGTTTCGTTTTGTCAGTTTTTAGGAGTGCGCTAGCATGAACCCAAAGCTAAAAGACATGGATTAAACGTCACAAATATCTTATTTTTATTCCTTTAAGCGCTTCTTAAGAACTATACTCTTATATGCTGTTGTTGTTTTCCCTCTAGAGGAGAATTACAGGAGGTTCCTACAGTACATGAATGGTTCGCTCAGTGTTAAGCTTCAACACTTGTAGGACCTAAAATCTGTCTTTAAAATGCAAAATCGCTGCTCTTTAGAGGGATTTCGTGGGGCATTCGGTGTGTGCAACACATTTACGCAGCTGTGCATCTGTAGGAGTAAGAGCTCTGTCTCTTTCTGCTTTGTGTCTAGGCTTTGCCTTTGTGTTTTTCTTAAGACTGATGGATTTGTTTGAATATGTTCTCTTTGCATGCTGAAAGGCAAGGCCCTGGTGAATAGTCCTCCGCTTGTGTTACTGCAATATCCTGGGTCATTTGTGTGAATGCCAAACACTTCAGTCGCCAGCGTGCGGATCATTAAGACTGAAAAATGGCACACAAAAGTGAATTTGGAATTTGAGAAATGTGATTCCTTTCACCACTTGATTGTGGAATTAATCTCATGCCACATTTATAAGTATGTGTTGGCTGGTTATTGCTCTGCGAGTCCCTTTGACGTCTTGAAATTAACCACATAAGAGCCACTTACATAATTGTGGCTCAAAATGTTAAAAGCTTGAAACTGATTAATGATACAACAAAACACAAACCCTTCACTTGCTCCTAGAGATCCTATTTCCAGTGTGAGGCAATGTCTGACTTTATAAGTCATGGGTGTATGTATTACCATGATCGCAAGCCAGAATATATGATCGTTTTTTATATAAACTAATGAATGAAATCATGCATTTCAGAAATCCATCGCTCTCTTATTCGCCATTAAACAAGAGTGGACTGGATTTAGCATGATTGAAATATACCAGAGTGCTTGTTATTTGACCTACATTGTTAAATAAGTCCGCGTTCAGAGTATTACATCTAGTAAGCTTGAATACATAATTGAAATGATTTGATTGCCGGGAAATGGAATAACTTTACCGTAAAAGTGAGTGCTTGGATGATGATCTTTGGCCTTTGTTCTAAATGAAGAGTTCAGATGCAAAAGCCTCTAAATGCCATTTGAAATTTTCTTCTTTAATGATCATTTTCAACGCATTCTCACCCCAAGGCGTCACCTTTGACCATGCTTCAATATTTGACGTTTTAGGCGCCCTTTAGCGTCACTTACATGACGCGATCCTACGGCGTCATCTAACTGACGCTAAAGGAAAGCGTCTGTTAGAGGACGCGGTTAGGTTTAGGTGTGGGGTGGGGGTAGGGTACACGCGATCCTAGGGCGTCATCTAACTGACGCTAAAGGGCGCCTAAAGCGTCAGATATTGAAGCATGTCCAAATTCTTCCCAAGGCGTCAGTTAGGTGACGCCTTGGGGGTGAGAATGGGCTGTCATTTTTATCAAGCTTGTATATTTAAGTTCAGTGATTTCACTTAAATGGCAATGATAATTACCTATTAATTGTTATTTAAGTGAAATTACTGAACTTAAATATACAAGTTTGATAAAAATCATCATTAAAGAAGAAAATTTCAAATGGCATTTAGAGGCTTTTGCATCTGAACTCTTCAAATATACTCATATCTCTGGTGCCTTCTACTTTTGTATGGTAACAGAGGCATATAGAGTGTTTAAATGTCAATTGAACGTTGGTTTAGCATCTCTTATGACTCATTTTTCTCTCCTGCAGGACACAGACCTGATTATGACCTTTAACATCTCCATGCATCGCACCTGGTGGATGGAGAACGGCCCGGGGTGCAGGGTGACCCCCGTGACCCCTCCTCCCTCCTGGGCCCCGGAGGACCATCGCTACATCAGCATTGCCGGCTGCCTGCTGGAGTACCAGTATGTGGAGGTGGCCCACAGTTCCTTGCAGATTATCCTGGCTGTGAGTAATCCTTTAAAGAAATCCTTTCTTTCCTTTTGCTGCGCTTGTGATGTTAAATATATACTTACGGCCCTTCTGATTGGTCGAACGTGGAGTTCTGCGATTAAATTTTAGTGTACACTGACAGCTAGACTATATAATTGACTGTTACCATACCAAGGATGAGAGGGTTTGCTTTGGAGTGTGGAAAATCCGCCGGTTGTCGGTGCAGTATTTGTTTTTGTCCGTTTAAAAATATTACAACAAGTCTGTAAATATCAGTTCAGGAAATGCTTCAGAGTTTGGCCGAGCTCCAGTGGTGATATTGCTTGAATGCGGGTTGTTAATAGGAGCTCAGCATGCCGCCTTCCTTCGAGTCTTTATTCTTTATCTCTTCCATTACTTGTGACACCTGCTTCTACTCCCCCCTTCCACAATCAGCGTCTCTAATGCAATAGTGAAGTGAACCCCCTCCAACGTGGATTCAGCAATTCTCTGATTACAAGGCTCTACAATACTCTCCCTCGGCTTTCATTCTCATACGGTGAAATCTAATTTCAAACATGTTTTTTTTCCCCCAACTCAACATGAAATTAAAATTGACCCTGTTTACTGCATGATGATCAGGCAGTTTGTTTTCATAATGTAACTATAATATCCTTCGATTTCTAACAAAAAGATATTTGTTTTCTGTTGATGGAACCAACGCCGCCGGGGCAAGGAGAAATGTGAACCAGTAATATCAGAGCCTGCTTTTTTTATATATAAATATTGCGTTTCGCTTGGATCGGTATCATTTACAGATGTTAAGTGGGTAGTCGACATGAAATTTCAAATAGAAACTGCTGTATCGTGCAGAATGATATCCTATACTGTTTTAAACATCTGTTTGTTTGTTTTAATTAGGAGACGCCTTTAATATTTCTACTTAATGAGCTAAATTGTGGTCATAAATTGTGAAAATCTGGATGAATTGTGACCATTATCAGTTCCTAAATTATGAGATGATGTTAACAACATAATATTTGTTATTAATATTATGCCCCCTCCCACACACACACACACACACAGCTTTCACACAAAGTTTTTCATCTTTTGAAAACCTTATATCACATGAAATACACATATTTAACGAGTCTCTCAATTAATTAATTATTTTAAACATCGGTTTTGCCTTCACTCCTTCATTTGTTATGGTCCTGCTGTGAGACAATTACATTTTTGTACAAATAGTACAAATAGTCCATGTACTTTCTTAATATGAGCTCAAAAAAGGTCATCATAATTATGTCATTATTATCTACATTTGAAGTGTTTTATCTAGATTTAATGTATTACAGATGTTATTCAAAGAAAAACAATTTATTTATCAAGAAAATACAAAAAATTGTATGGTATTATTATATGATATACATTTGTATTTGAAGAGTTCAGATGCAAAAGCCTCTAAATGCCATTTGAAATTTTCTTCTTTAATGATGATTTTTATCAAACTTGTATATTTAAGTTCAGTAATTTCACTTAAATAACAATTAATAGGTAATTATCATTGCCATTTAAGTGAAATCACTGAACTTAAATATACAAGCTTGATAAAAATGATCATTAAAGAAGAAAATTTCAAATGGCATTTAGAGGATTTGCATCTGAACTCTTCATTTGTAGTTATATAATGCGAATAGATAAAGTAATATAATATGTTTTAATAATAAAATAATGATATATTACACACACAATATGTATATAAACATAATTATAATGATTGAAAAAGCTTATTATAATACAATAATTACAAATGTAGTATTGATATGTTGTAGTTTGATTACCTATTATTATTAGCAAAATCTTTTTTTTAAATAGTTTTAGATGCTCGATTAATCTAAACCATTTAATAATAATACTTATAATTATAAATAAAGAATGTCACACCACAGGAATTCCCAAAAGTATTTAATGTCTGTTACCAATACGAATATAGAGTGCTTCCATAAATATGGCTGACGTGTTGATGAATGTTATATAATGCACTGCACGTTTTAATCAAAGACAACATTTGTGAACGATGCTTTGTTGCACATCTCAAGTTGTAGCGTGACGTGCTGTAAGCGAGAGGGTTACCTTACCTTATCAGCCATGATGTCTGGGGGTCAGTAACTTTAATGGTGAAGATCTGTAGCCAGGTATCGGCTCCATCCGCCTCGATATTTATAGACCTTCCTCTGTTACGACTGATGCTCCTATTGAGATATTGTATAGCGAATAGCAGAGGAGAATGGCAGCTGCTTGTCTATGCAGACAGAGCGCCTGGTGGGAGCTTTCAGTGGCTTTGTGGTGGTCTCTCTCCAGAGAGGAGAGTAGGCACCTTATACACATCACAGGTATGGAAGTGAGGCTGTAAGGGATAGACTTAACATGTTTTTAATGGCTCCTAGATCACATATAATTTTCCAGTTTTTTGCCTTCTGAAATTTGACATGTCTGAAAACACATTTTTGCAGTGTTTCGTCAGCAGAACAATTCAAAAACACCTTAAATAACAGGACAACCCAGTAAAAAGATGTCTGCCTATCTTTCAATTCCCCTTAAAAATCAAAGATGGCGCTGCTGTGAATAAGGTCTATTTCCTTATTGAAGGTCTGATATGTACTGCAGGAAGCTATAAGTGGTATTCACCTACATTGAGATGTAAAAAAAATCTTTTTTTTCTTTCCGTTTTCTTGTAATTACAGAGCTAAAGCTCTGTTAGATTGCTTGAGTATGAGAGACTCCCTAGGCTGCTGAGGTGTTTTATAATGACTTCACACATGCCATGTAATTAGGCATGTGTGTTGATGAAACAGATATGAATGTGGCGCTGTGGAAATGACAATATTGAAACACACCTGTTTCCCAAGGGAGCTTCACCCTCTGACTGTAAATGTGAGGGATTTCACAAACAGTTTTTTTTTTTTAACTGTACTACCTTATGATTAAGTACATCATTTGAGAAAGTACTTTTCAGACTGCCATAAAACTCTTTTCTTTTATGGGAACGTTCTCTAAACCTGACAAAAAATAGTGTCGAAACAATTTTCACACAGAAATTGCTAGTAAATTTCACAAATAATTACAAAGAAATGGCAAGTAACACATTGAATTAAATGTGAAATTTTGAAGTAGAAAGACTGAAATTGTATATTCTTGTAAAATTACTTTGCCTGTTATAAATCGCCTGTTCGTCTGATAAATAGTTGTGCCCAGCCAGTGTGTATAAAGCACTTTTAATCCATTTAATTCCATTTTTTATACTGTGTATGCAATGAAAATCCAAAATTGGTTTGCTGCGAATTTCATAACAATGAAATAGGATTAAAAATTGATAGAAATGATATAGTTGTTGACATGCAGAAAGAGTATAGAGCTATGTAAATGTCAAAGCTCAAATCTTCTTGGAAGAATTTAAGGAGAAATGTTTTTATTTCATAATAAAAGCTTGAGAAAGTCACCATTCTTGTTGTCTATGAGATATTAAAGAGTTGGCAGTAGTGATTTTTCTTTCCTATGGGTCAGACACACTTACGTATACAGTATGCGGAATAAGAAATATTGTTAGTTGCTGTCAAATATTATGTAGGGAACTGTTGAAGTCATTGCATGTTCAATAATACTTAGACTTCTAAACACAGAAACTGTTACAGTATAGGCCAGGATCAATAAGACAATGATTGAATTAAGCTCTCTCTGAAGCATTGAAAGGGACTAGACATATGTCTGTGTCAGCAGAAGTGCTGAGTTGAGTCCCACCGCCGGCTGCTCGGACCGTTCCAAAGGACTGTAAAACAATATCAAGGCTTGAAGTTTATTGCCAGCATTTTGTTCATGGCGTCCCTGCGGAGAGTCACAGTTTGGGTCGTTTCATGAACCCACTTGCTGAGACAAGCTGTAGTTTATTGCTCCAAGTTTCTTGAAGGTCCAAGATGATTGAAGTTTTCAGGTTGTTTAAAATGATTTCCCATATTTCATTTAAATGTCTTTTATGTCATCTAATACAATTGTCACTATGAATAACCATTTCAATGCTGTACTTTTGTACTACTTGCAGCATTTAAAAGTTTTATTAGTAACTGCATTTATTTGAAATATTCTACTTACTTTGGTCAATTTAATGCTTCCTATGTGAATAAAAGTAATTTATTTAAAAAAAAACAACAACATCATACTGATCCCAAAGTTTTAGACTGTTGTAGACTATATATGTAAGGGGTTTTCAGTGCGTAGATGCACGCAAAAAAAAAAAAAAAAAAACATTTTTAGTGTATAAATGGCACTCGTGGTATAGATACGCACTTTCATGAGAGTGTTTTGAATAATGACTATAAGTGTCTGTATATTATCCTTTACGTATCACTGTAAAAAATATATTTTCAAGATTTGTTATCACAACATATTTTCTTTTGTCAAATCGACTTTAATAATTTATTTAGTTGAGAACTTATTATTTTGAGTTTCTGATGATTAAATGAATCTCCTTCATTGTATTAACTCACTTTTTCCAGTTCAATCAACTTAAAATTTTAAGGCAACCAGGCTACTTACTTTTTTAAGTTAAACCAACAATATTTTTTACAGTCAATTTTGACAAAAAGCATTTGTCAAGACTGTCAGAGCTCAGATGCAAGTTCTTCAAGAGTTTTGTCTTTGTCTTGCCGTTCATAATGTGTTTTCTGTGGACTCTGTGCTGTTTCGCCGCCTCACAACACGTTCCTTTATGTTTAAGACCCTTCCCCAGTTGTGTCTGGATGCATAGACAACATTTTCAATCATCAAGCTTTCAGATACATAATGATCGCCTTTGTTCCCCACATAGGAATCGGGCTGTTGAAAAATTGACTCGTTCATTATTTTCTCCTAAAGCGAATAAGTGCCTCTTTGATCAGTTAACTACGGTGACAACCGTTCTCTCGCTCCCTCGCCGCACTTCTCGTTTTTATCTAGCTGACAAGAACACAATTGATCAGCAAATTTTTTGCTCGTCTTCTCTT